TAAGATTGGTTAATTAAAACCAAATAAAACACTTTGGGGATAATTTAAATGGGTATGACATAATTACAAGAGTTGGACTTGGGTTACAACTCTATTTACAAGAGTCTTGGGGAGTTTCTCATGGACACAGTGAGAATATTACAACTACATCATGGCCAAAATAAACCACCACCATAAAAATCTTTGTGGCGTCTTAACAGGTTCTTACAGGAAGGTGAGTACTCATCAGAAGCTTGTTTTGCAGTTCCCACAGCCCTGGTATGTTTACATCCAGGTCTCCTCTTCAGATACTGGCACAGCCTGTCTTTTTTGTTCTTATTTGAGTTACTGTACTTCCAGCTGTGAATTACTTTCTCAGCAGAAACTGAGCTTTTTAGCGTAAGGCTGAGCAGCAGGGCGAGTCTTGCCTCAGTGCATTTCTGCACACAAAGTAGAGATCTTCATGCTTGCTGTAGAATCATAGAATGGTTTGGGTCAGAAGGGACCTTTAAAGATCATCTGGTTCAAACCCACTGCAATGAGCAGGGACATCTTCAACTAGATCAGCTTGCTCAAAGCCCCATCCCACCTGACCTTGAATGTTTCTAGGGATGGGGCATCTACCACCTCTCTGGGCAACCTGTCCCAATGTTTCACCACCCTCATTGTAAAAAAAATTTCTTCCTTATATCTAGTCTGGATCTACCCTTGTTTAGTTTAAACCTGTTACCCCTTGTCCTATTGCAGTGGTGCTCCAAGTGCAGTGCCAGCTGGAGAAATGTCAAGTAGGTTTTTCTCCCAATGGTTTTGTGTCGTACTAGCGCAGTTTAGGCATTAAAAATTTAAAATACTGGGCTGGAGCCTGGCCTTGGAAAGTCAAGGTGTGCTTTCTGACTTTTACATTTGGGTTTCAGTGCACAAATTTGGAAGCTTTGCTGGTTCTGTTTTACATCTAGCCACTCACCAGCATTGAAGAGGGAGAGCAGCGGGACTGTGAAAGTTGGATTGCACGTGCAGTCCTCTAAAGGACTTTTCTGTAGCGATGGCTTGAGATATGCATGTTGGAAGCAATTAGGATTTCTTCCCTTTTGGCTCTTTTTGTGTTGGAGGTCAGCAGCTGAAAACGTTCACTTGGTTGTTTCTACCTTCCAACCCATTTTTTTCTGTTTGGGCTAAAGCCAGCCTCCTAGAATGGCTTTGCTTGTTTTGCTTTTGAGACTGCAAGCGGTGGCAAATCTATTGCATTTCATGGTGGAGCATTGTAATAGTTAATACCGAGCATGTCAGATGAGGAAATGCAACACCTTTGAAAGTTTGCTTGCAGAATTCACAATATAACAATAGACGGTGTCCTACCGAGTTATCTAGAAGACATCTGCCAAAGGACTGCCAAAAACAACATTCTGCTGCTGTGAAGCATAGCATATCTGACGCACGTTGGGTTTCAACCTGTTTCATGGCCTCTTTCTCAATAAAACACAGGAACATCCTGGAATTAAATTTAGATTAGATTAATCCTAAATGCCACCTCCCTCTTATTTAATTGCTTGTATTAGAAGTCGTTCTAGACAGCCAAGAAGAAAGGAAGTAATGGTATATTAAAGCATTTAAAGGAATGATAGAAGTTAATAACTTTTTGACTCCAAATGTGAGTTTGTAATATGCTATGTGATGCCAGAGAATTGGGGAGCATATGCAGAACTCTTAAGCATGACCTTTAAAACAGCTAACACATGTAGTTGGAAAACACCGACTGGAAACAGAGGTATCAAGGAGTTGGTTTCTCTGGATCTGTCTGATGGCTGCTTATTTCTGGCATCCAAAAAGGAAACCTGAGCCCTGCCCTGCTGAAGCATTTCTAAGGCCTTTTTCCACTGTGGGTTCTCTGGTATGCAGTAAAGGCAAATTCATATTGCAGCTTCTCTGCTGACCAGGATATCTCTAGTTGTCTCCTTTTCATGGCCTCTAAGTCTCAATAAACTTAATAACCTTTGATGCTCTTGGCCCGTGAGTTCAAGAGCAAATGCAAAATGCGAGCAAATGCAAAATGCAAGCAAATGCAAGTTCGTGTTGCACAAAGTATGGGCTTGTAAGCTTGTGCTTTTCTAGAAGAAACCAGACTAAACAACAGCAAAGCCTAGAGCTGTAATGATTCCTAAGTCGTTCAGAGTCAGGACTCTGCTTTGGCCTTTTGGTCTTGCTTGATCGCTATTTATTGTGGGCAAAGCTGGTCTTTGCTCTACAGCATTTTGGGTCGACTTCCTTGTTTCATGTCCCTGGACCTTGTCTTTTTGTGCTGTGACTAGG